CTAGAGAAACTTGACGTGAACCAGTTTACAAAACTTCGGATGCTCTCAAAGTCGTCGCACTCGATAGGCATCAATCCGATCACCGCAACATACTTCGGGGAGTTGAGGTATCGGTCAGGAAAAGCATTCCGCTTGTGCTGCGCCTCCGCACGAATGCGATCAGCCGTTTCCCGTGTTAAGGCGTTCGTACGGCAAGTCACGACAACCAAATAACCTTCCACGGCCAGGCCTACCGCGGTGTGGTAGCCGATACCGCTGTTCGTACCGGTCACCAACGCCAGAGGGCGCCTCTCTGACGGCATATCTTCATGGATCACAAACCGGGAGCGCTGCTGGTCAGCCTCAGAGTCGGCGCAATTCACAGGGCGGCAGCGATTGCGAGCCCCACGAGCCAGAATCCGGCTTGTGATACACCATACAGGTATGAGAATCTTTAAAGGGATGAAAGGTGTAAGTAAAAGTGCAGCAATCGCGGCTAATAGGATTCGGCCCTCATTTTTGGCCAGAAGCCTCATGGCAAATAAAGTAAGCTTCATTCGGCTTATAATGTAAATACTGTATAGGTAAATATATATGTTAGAAAGTATAAATAAATATAGAACTCTTAATTATATATATAAAGAAGCTGTACGTCTTTAGGTAATAAATTCTGTGACAAAATCGTATGGTCGCTATAGAAAAACAGAAAATGGAAGAGTAATGTTCATAGAGTTGTCTACGCCCCTCCCGGCAAGCTTAGCAGGACAGGACAAAGAGGGTGTCCCCAAGATGTAACAGTGAAACCATTGAAGGCTAGAGGGAATGAGAGATCATTGGTAGATAAATGTGCAGTAGTGAAAACAGGAATTAACGCCAATGAAGCCTTCTATTAAATCTGTTTGGGTCTAGAAATGACTCATTAGAACACTCACTAGTATTGCCATTATTAACGATGCAAGCGTTTCACTGGAACCACCAGTTCAAAGCGCCGAAGAATCTTCTCGCGCTCCATACTCTCCCGCTCCCGTGAGCTCGGGGGGGATTCCTGCCGCGATGCGGCAAAGTTTATCCGCACGGGCGGTCCCCCGGACGGCAGTTGGGTGCCCTCAGAGGGCTGAAAAGGGCCCCCTTCCCCCCTGGCGACCCCTTTCAGCCCTCTGAGGGATGGGCTTGAGGCAGCTGAGATCGGGACAGAGGCCATGTTGTGGGACCCCGGGGCAGGGGTCCAAGGGAGAAACGCGGAGAAGGCCGATGTCGCCAAGGATGGCAGTGGTGTTGTGCTTTGGGATTCGCTGGCGTTACTCAGCGGAATATTGCGGACCTCACCCTTGTTCTCATCCACTCCACCATTTTCATTGGGTGAAGGCAACTCCTCGGAGAGTTCCGATTCATCGAATTCTTCGGTTAGTTCAGACTTGGGAAATCCGCTACTTTGAATGTGTATCGCCTCCGATTTGTTAAACTCTTCCGTCTCCTTTTTTTCATCCTGATCGAACACAGAGGTTTTGGCCCAAGGCTCACAGTCATCCTCCAAGTCGTTGGCATACTCAATAAAATCATTGCTCTTTGAAAAATCAAATGCCTCCATAAGTGATATTATATATATATATATATATATATGGATACCTAGGTTAAAACATAATATGTTCCTACAAACACGTTAGCATGAAAAAAAAAAAGATTAAGAAGATTCGTTTTATTTGCACCTCACGATATTTTTAACATTGCTATAGCTGTTCTTTTACGATCAAACTAATGTGAAAGGTAACCTCAAGTTCTAATTTATTACCTCTCACGACACCTTTAGGGTAATCATTTCATCTACACAATTTAGTGGAGTACTAAGCGTTTACAGGAAAATAAAATGGATAAAATGATAATAAAACGGGGGGTGTAATATTATCCACGAAGATATATAGGAAAACAAAAAGTTACTCAAAAAGAGACAACCCTTCTTAGTGCAGGATATAGAGATCAATTTTTTACCACTGAATATCATCGGTAACCATAATTGCTCTACATGATGAATCAGATTTCAAAGAAAAGGAAAACCTTCAGTACGTGTGTTTAGAATAAAAACAATGATTTTTTTTTTTACACATATGCATCTAAAAAAAAAGCATTCGTCTTTACTTGTAAAGGCCTTCCAAATTGGTAACTCGTTTTCTTCAAAAACTACATGATTACACAGCATCCAGAATTTGTCTTCTTAGCTTGTGAATAAAACGTCTTGCTAGCCATCCCTAAATCCTCGCTCTTTGCTACAAGTTCATCAATCTTATTCCCACGTTCAATTATTTGATCAATTGCGTTGTACATCACAACCTTGGTATCTTCAATATCCTTTTTGATCTTGAGAATTTTATCAACTTCTTCTGGCTTTTGATACTTAACAAGAGTGTCCTGCAGGTACGGCCAAGGTAAGAAGTTGTCAGGTTTTCCATCGACAACCGAATACTTCCCGCGGAAGGTGCTTTGGAAGTTAGAAAGCATTTCTGACAAAAGTGAAAAGGCCACACGACCAGAGTACTCGATATCACTTATAGCTATAGCAACCAGACCATCAAACGACATGTGGGCATATACAACATTGCCATCTTGAATAATTTGAGTCTTAGTTCCGGAAGCAACGCGTTTGGCCACGGTGCGAGAAAGAAATATAATAAACTCTTTGGCCGATCCGCGTTGAAAGAAACCAAAAGAGGTAACGTCAATAGCACTGGAACAGATCATTGGATCCTTCTCAATACCCTGGGGGAACGTTTTCAGAATTAAAAGCGCAAACAATTTCATCTCAAAAATATCTTTTAGATTTCTAACTACCTACTCAATGCAGTATATATACATAAATATATATTTATTTATGAGTGTAGATATGCAAAGTGTGTAACTAGACTTGTTCACGTATTTAACCTTTTAATAGAGATAGTTATATAAAGAAACACTAAATTAGATAGCGCAATACATTGTCTTAGATCTGTAGAGAAAAGTATATTACTGCTTTCAGAACACTTTAAAATGCTTTAAAGCGCCTAGAAATCCAAGCTATAGGGATTTGAGAGGTACTATCTTTTCTACGATTTCACATTTTTTTAATATTATTGTTCGGATTTTTTTTTATGGAACTTATAGTATAAGTGAACAAAAGGGAAAACCTAGTTATTTTTTTAATCACTTAACGTCCATAACAGATACTTAAAAAAAAATAGTATTCAAGTGGTTCAACAAATCATACAAATAACTATGCATCAAAACAACTAACTGCGTCACAACTCTGTTTCAAATATTTTTCAGTCTAGAAGCATCATTCTGATATATTTTCAGTTTTCCTTCTTTTTTTTTAAGCAGAAGGGGGTTATAAATATGCATTCTAAACATAATACAAAAAAGAGAAACCATGTTCCATAGGCATCACGTTTTTATACATTTTCACTAATTCAGTAATTGCTACAGTAGTCTAAGTCTTCTCTGATGTCCAAAGGTGATCTCACGATATAATTTCGGATTCGTGAAGTGAACTAGAGATAGTAGTATGGTAGGGATTGCAAACACGACTGGGATCAGGATCAACCCCTTTTTGAAGCGTCCTTAAACGAGACTGCTCTATTGTAAGCAACTCCACACGCTTTCGTAACATCTCCAGCTCCGACAGCACGTATTTGTCCGAGCAATAACTTGTTTGTAGTGGGCTTGAGATCGGTAGTGCGGAAACAGAGGTGCGTGGCTGGAAAATGGAATGATAGGGCGAGGAGGGCTGAGGGGGCGCTACAGATGATTGGGCGTGACCCATGAACGTTGCCGCGGGGAAGGACAAGACCTGCAATTGATGTTGCAACATCCTCCGCAGTTGATGATCATGATCCTGCAAAAAATACAAGTAGCGCTCTGCCTGAAAAAGAGCCTCCGTCGCGGCGTGGGCAGCGCTTCTTTCGGAGTCGCCAGTGTAAAGCACCGCAATATTTTCCCGATATTCCTTCTCACGACGTAGTGTCTCGATTTCATGTCTCAAGCACTCCTGCCGAAGCTCCCCACGGATCCTCAACTGATCTAATTCAGCGCAAATCCGAATCTGCTCCTCCGACAGTGCAGACAACTGCTGCGAATTCGTTAAGAATGCAGAAGGGGAGGAGGGTGTCTTGGATACCGTAGAGGGTGGATCTTTGGTCGGCTCATTACCGGAATTGAGGGGATTGCTAGGCTGAGGAGTAGTCAAATCAGAAGCAAAGGTGAACCCTAAGGGCATAAATCCTCGGTTATTTGAGGTAGATAAGCTGCTCTTCATTTCCTTCATGACAGAACCTGACTGCACAGCGGATGAAAAAGTCGACACCGGCCTAAACCTAGGTGGGGAACCAGAAGAGATGCTTCCAGGCTTTGGTTCGGAATTGTTGCCACCGTGGCCCGCTTGATGTTTGGTGGGAACATTTTCAGGATATAAGCTAGTTTGAGTGCCAGTTTCCTTGGTGTTTGCGGATCGATTAAAAGTCCAGCTCGTCCGCCCCCGTCCCAGTCCGATCGAAGACATCAACCGTCGTTGATCAAAGCTGGAGTGTGGCGTCAGGCCATGGATTACCTTAAGGAAGTTGTTCATGCACAGCTCCCGGTCTGTGGAGTTCATCGGCTCCATTTCGGCCTCCCCTTCTGCATTGTCGGCGTAGGAGCAGCACAAGTTATGGGAAACGCTGCTAACGCTGTCCTCCTCAATGTGGTGTCGATTTGAAGAAGCAACGGAATAAATTGTACTGGATCGGCATCGATGGGCAAAATGGTCGAAAAGATAATTAATGGGGTTTGATGGCTTCTTGGTAATGAGAAGCGAGATGACATTGGCCGCCACCGCGTAGCCCGGGGAGTCAATAGGAACCCCTTTTAGCAACCGGATCTCCGTTGGATCAGTAGGCGGGACTAAAAGAAGCCCACTCATGGAGTGCATCATTGCATTCGTAGCGACAACCTCCTCACTGAAGCAGCGGCCCTCCAGTCGCGTGCATAAGTACTCCTCCGCGTCGCGAGGCTTGACATCTAAGAGAAGTTTTGCCAACTTTTCAAGCAATCGGCGACCAGGACCAAGTGGAACCACGACGGCTAAACGTTCAGCAATCGTTTTTAAGGAACCATATTGTAAAGAAGATGCTAATGGCAGTGCGGTTCCACGTTCTTGGCGGTAGCTGTGCTCATATGACTTCTGTGAAGCTGCCTCATTATATTCACTACTGATCACATCGCCCTCTTCACCTTGGGTGCCCTGATGAAAGATATCCTTATCCCGCATCGAAAACGAAAGGCGACTGTTCGATGGTGTCTGTGTTTCCCCTAGGTGTTTCCCCGAAAGGTGATCGATAATGCACTGTTCCGGGTCTTTTGGACGACGCGTGAGCACGAGACCCGCCAAATGCCGCAGCATAGGCTGCAAAACCGGGCAGTACTCCGACCCGATCTCCGAAAGGGTATGCACCACCACGCTGTTCAGCGTCTTGCTGCTCGGCTCCATCGCAAGCTCGAGGGAAGCCAGGGAGGGAACCTCGATGATCTGCGTCTCGGGGTCCAGCTGCACGCGGAGGGTTTGAGTGCTGCCGAGGCTGTGGCAGGTCCGGCGCCGCGCCGAGGGCGTCCCCTGCACCCCCCCCCTCTCCCCTCCGGGGACCACC